TTTCACCCGGTACCTCCTCTTAAATCTGGGAAAAAACAGCAGGAATTGGGTCAAAATAGAGCCCATCCCATAAATTTTGGGATTTTTCCTCAATTTTGGGGTCCCAGCCCCAATTTTGGGGTTTCCCCTCACTCACTTGGCTCTTTCCCGGGGCTCGATCATGTTCCTCCTCTGGAGGCTCTTGAAGCGATCCCGGAGCACGTTCCCTTCAGGCTGAAATTTTGGGATATTCCCAAAGTTTTTTTGGGATATTCCCAAAGTTTTTTGGGTTTTTTTTGGGGTTTTCTGGGTTTTTTTTGGATATTCCCAAAAAGTTTTGGGGTTTTTTTGGGATATTCTCAAAGTTTTTTAGGGTTCTTTTGGTTTTTTTGGGGTTTTTTTGGGATATTCTCAAAGTTTTTTTGGGATATTCTCAACGTTTTTTGGTTTTTTTTGGATATTCCCAAAGTTTTTTGGGTTTTTTTTTTGGATATTCCCAAAGTTTTTTGGTTTTTTTTGGGGTATTCCCAAAGTTTTTTGGGGTTTTTTGGGATATTCTCGAAGTTTTTTTGGGATGTTCCCGAAGTTTTTTTGGGATGTTCCCGAAGTTTTTTTGGGGTTTTTTGGCATATTCTCAAAGTTTTTTTGGGTTTTTTTTGGGATATTCCCAAAGTTTTTTAGGGTTTTTGGGATATTCTCAAAGGTTTTTGGGTTTTTTTGGGATATTCCCAAAGTTTTTTGGGGTTTTTGGGATATTCTCAAAGGTTTTTGGGTTTTTTTGGGATATTCCCGAAGTTTTTTTGGGGTTTTTTAGGGTTTTTGGGATATTCCCGAAGTTTTTTGGGGTTTTTTGGGATCTCAGGGACCCCACCCCAAGCCCAGCACCCTCAGCCCCCGGGGTCTCGTTCACACAACAAAACCCCGGAACCCCCAAATCCTTCACATTCCCAAATTTGGGAATTCTCATAGCGCAAGGATGGGTCTCATCACRGGGTGCTGGGAGCCCAAAAAWYCMMAAAAAWTCCCAAAAATGGGGATTTTCCACCCAAAAAACCCCAATGGGAGCACCCACCCGGAGGCTCCGCAGGGATTCCGGGAGTTCCTCGCTGAGCTTCACCTCTGGGCCGGGATCCTCATACCTGGAAT